TTCTTGCGTTGGGCCTACGGTATCATCATGGTGTGCACAAAGATACACACACGGCAAACGACGTTGATTTTGGAGCTTCACACTCATTTTTGTTTAGTGTATTGCGAAGGTGTACCGATTCAGGTAAAAGTCAATCGACGGATACCCTGCGAATCGGGTCCTCCTTAACACTCACTCTCCACCTACAGAGCTTACCCTCAACTGGGAACCTCTTGTGTCCAGGATGGGTAATTCGATGGAAGTGTCACAAGGTCTCTCTGTAGGATCGACTCCAAGAGGTCTTTCTTGCGTTGGGCCTACGGTATCATCATGGTGTGCACAAAGATACACACACGGCAAACGACGTTGATTTTGGAGCTTCACACTCATTTTTTTTTAGTGTATTGCGAAGGTGTACCGATTCAGGTAAAAGTCAATCGACGGATACCCTGCGAATCGGGTCCCCCTTAACACTCTCCACCCACAGAACTTACCCTCAACTGGGAACCTCTTGTGGCCAGGATGGGTAATTCGACGGAAGTGTCACAAGGTCTCTCTGTAGGATCGACTCCAAGAGGTCTTTCTTGCGTTGGGCCTACGGGATCATCATGGTGTGCACAAAGATACACACACGGCAAACGACGTTGATTTTGGAGCTTCACACTCATTTTTTTTTTAGTGTATTGCGAAGGTGTACCGATTCAGGTGAAAGTCAATCTACGGATACCCTGCGAATCGGGTCCCCCTTAACACTCTCCACCCACAGAACTTACCCTCAACTGGGAACCTCTTGTGGCCAGGATGGGTAATTCGACGGAAGTGTCACAAAGTCTCTCTGTAGGATCGACTCCAAGAGGTGTTCTCGGGACTGACAAACATTGTGTCCTTGGGAAGATATCCAAGTCAGGAGAAAAAGTGTGCACCCAAGGAGATTCGAACCAGTATCCAGCTGACGCCATGTGCGAAGGGTGTACCGATTCAGATAAAGTCAATCGACGGATACCCTGCGAATCGGGTCCTCCTTAACAGTATATTCTCTGCGTTCGTAGGTCCACCTGACGAATTATCTCACGTTCATTAAAGTTGTTAGCACATCTCTTGTCCGTGCGGGCGGGGGGGGGGAGTCTGAATGGAAACACGCGAACTCACGTAGCGGTACTTCGAATATGTATGTTGTGTTTCGGTCTGTTTCGTTCTTTATTTACTTGTTTTCGAAAGACGCACGACGACACAACTCCATTAACCAGTCGGATTTCACCGGAGGGGTGTTCCGCGGTAAAGACGAATTGTCTCTCCCGCGACGAGGAAAAACTCGAATAAAAAACCGTTTCTGGATACATGTCTAAAGCGAGTATTTCAGATGGATCCAACCTAGGGGGGGAGGAGTCTGAAATTGGTGTTTATTGGAGTTGATGAGAAGTGAGCATTTATTATTGTGTGCAAAGAGGATGTCTGCGTGCGTATAGAAGAGGAGGCATGCGCACTGAGAGAAGGCAGCTGCCGCAGGACATTCTGTTTGCGCCCGATCACGTTGAAGCATCATCAGTGCTGGAGCACAGGGACTGCTAAACGTACGAGCGGACAACACTGCCAGCTACTACCTGTTAAGACGTTCTGTTCCGGGGAGCTAGTGTTGTCGTCNACGCTAGAGCGCAACGATGGCTGGAATTCCTGTCCAACTTCACCTACACCCTGAAATATCGGAAAGGTTCGGCAAACGGCAACGCGGATTTTCTTTCGCGGTTGCGTATCTCGGGTGGATTTCATAGCTTCATAAAGCTGGGGTGTGAGTCACAAAACAACGTGAAGCGATTGATTTAGTTGTTGGGAGTCCTTTTGGCGGTTGGCGTGCACCATCGGGGAGCGCCGATTTCAACAGTCAAATGTCCGATTGAGGGGGTCACAGGGGTTCGTTGCCGCCTTCCTCAGGGGTGAGTACGACGTCTTCGTACCTGGGACAACAATGCTTTCGTTCAGTAACATTCGTAGTGATCAGGTATTGGCAAGTCAGGTAAAGGTTGTTTGGCCGGGATTTTTTGGGGTTGGTGCCGGTTGTCGTTTCCAAAAGACGGCAGCGCGGCACGGGGTAAAATAGATTCTTGACGGCACACGGTAGGATGAAGAATTTTCTTGGAATTCGCGTATGGTGGTTAGCGTGGGGGTACTTGGGCCCGAAGGGATGAAATGCTGAGGGCTTGTGTCGTGAGTGTAACCGAGTTCCCGCTTAGGATAGAGCGAATTCCATGGGGTTTTGAATACTGCTGTCTTGGCACGGCGGTCGAGACGGATAAATGTTGATGTTTGGATTTTGTTAAAGGTTTGGAGCTGATGCGATCGGGACTGTACCAGTTTCAGTATGGAAATAGTACTGGATGGACGCCGGTTCCTTTGAGGAATTCACTTGTTTTTGGATTGCTTTTTGGAGATATCAGAATATTTCCCAATAGGCCAAAAAGCAGTGTGGGGGAATGTGGCGCGACGTAGGCTCGTTTCAGGGGCTGTTTGGACTTTGTCCCCGTTTAATGGTGTGTTGGCGTTAAGATGCGGCGGAATTAGCTAGTCTCCGAGACGACGTGTTAATGTTTTGTTGTTTTCTCCCACCATTGGACTCTGTCGTCTGCCCCTCTGGCCCCTATCCTCCACTTCTACCAGCTAGACGACCCAACCGGGGTCACATAGGACGGGGGGGTTGGACCCCCTCCTGCGGTTCCTGCCTGAGATATTTTTATCGCGAGAAGGGTACAGCAATCGCTTCCCTCGCGACTTGTGAAGTCGGTCAAGTTTACTAGCAACGAGCCTTGCAGCGCGTCGCTTCCAACGGAGACCAGGATTTAATTAGCGAGAAAAAACTCACTTGAAAGGAATGCCCGCCCGACGGTGGCTTGCCTCCTTGATGTAGTAGATGTAGATTCTGCCGTAGACACTCTTGTCCACGAGCACGTTGAGATGGGAAGGTTGCTTGTTATTGCAGAAGCGGGTCTGCTACAGGTCTGAGGTGAGGCGGATTGCCCTCAACCTGGGGGCACGCAGATAGCTAAGTCCCGATGGGGTACGTCCTAAGAGGGTATACCTCCTGACGTCCCCCATCTTAATCTAGACCGACTGTGTACCCTATCTGTGCCATACAGCAACACTCCTTAACACTAGCCCACCCTGAAGATCATCTATACAGATTCTATACTCAAATCCTAAGGCTACTAATAGCTGGTGATTTAGGATCATGAATCGAAAGATATGACTCTTCACAAGTGTATCCAAAGGAAAGCGGAGCTGTAGAAATATCCCGACTCGACCTCCCACACCACCATTGAGCCAAAAGGTGATTCCGATGACGTTTAAACACAGCTAGTGGCGACTCAATGATAGGTTATACCCATGGAGGGATATTGCTAGGCAAGATGTGCTGCAAAGCACCATGTTTTAACACAAAAAACAAAATAAATCAATATCAACGCCACACACCACTCTATTTCGCGCGCAAGCGCGTATTACGACTGGAGGAATGAGGGTGGCGACACAAGAGAGTCCAGAATTCCTCCCGCAAAATTCAGTGGGACAGGACGGGCACACTACGGCTAAATGCGCTGACCACAAAAGGTAAGACTGAAAGAACGTTCATGGCCAAAACGGAAGGGAGGCGTTAATTGCCACCCCAACCAACTGCACAAAGAAACGTGGAGTCCAAACCATGTAAAACCAATGGCTGGACGAGGCACGAATGATCAAAGTCGAAAATTAATGCGACTATTACGGTGGAACACAATAATCAAGACCAAATTGGGCACTTCCCGTTCTCTCTCGAAAAAAAAATTTTCGGTCAAAATGCTCTCTCCCGCGAAGTTGATAGAAAAACACACGCTCTTTTGGA